CTTTGTTCTCCTCCGCCCTGGCGACTTCAATCTCGGCCCCAACATCGAAGCCCTGAGCTCTGACCTCCTCGAGAGCCTCTCTCCGAGCTTTCCATTTTGCATGTTCAACCATGCTCTCAGCTTTGGCCTGGTTAACCTCGACATCGATCTTGAACTGAGCCACTTTGGCATCAACTCTTTTATTGGCCTCGATCAACTCAGATCTGGCCACTTCAAGTTCTTTGGTCAAATCTTCTTTATCTGAAGTGGCCAAATCCAGCTGATGCTGAAGCTCTTTCATCTTTTCGATCAGCCCCGAAGCATTTTCTTTCGCAGATCGAAGTTGGCATCAGGCAGCTCCAACTGATCTTCGACGGATTCCTTTTTCGAGGCAAGGATATCCATACACTTTTTAAATTCTTCTGCCTCGGCAAGTAGCACATCTACCTGTGAGTTAAGCCGTCCAATCTGCTCGATCCTCTACCGAACCTGCAGAATCAGGTCATTAGTAGCTATCTCTTTTTTTCATCTTCATTATCACGGAACATTCGAAATACCTGCCCAGCCATCTCCTCATGCTCTTCCCGAGCCGCTGTCAAATCTGCTCGAAGTTTTTCACTAATGACCTTGTACGAGTCACTCTTCTCAGTGAGGCTCCGAACCTCGGCATCATGCTCCTCCCGGATTCGAAGAAAGGCTTCGTGATGCAACACCAAAGCCTGCAAACAAAAGAAGAAACATTAGAATTACCTACAACTCTATGTGTAAAAGAAGCAACGAAAATGCCATCGGAGTTACCCGATTCAAAGCATGTTGGGCCTCGTTGAAGAGATAAGAGGGCTCCACCGCATTCATCACTGATTGATCTTCTTCGGTCACCAAAGACCGTAGGTAGCTGGCAATCCCCACAGGGGAAGAAAAAATTCGGGTATCTGCAGGTACGAAGAGCACTATCTTCCGCCTTCGGTCGGGATCGATGCTCGCGGCCGGAAATTGGTCCACGGGTTTATGAATCGATGAGGGCTCGGTAGAACCCGAACACGATGCTTTTTTGGGTCCGGCATTCCACCAAAACTAGTAACCTCCTCCGAGACACCTGACTCGAGCCCCTCCAGAAAACCATGGATATCGGCCGACTCCTGAATACCCTCATAGGACCGATCCTCCAACATGACAGCCTCTCGAATCATGGCATCTGAAATCTAAGGGGATCCGCCAAGGTCAACTATCCCAAACTCATCCCTTGAAATATCTTCTACTGCCCGAGAAGATCCACCCTCGGTGTCCCTTTCGATTATCTTAGTTCGAGAAGGGATAATCTCAGCTTCTTCTTGTTATGGGATTATGGCCAAGGTTCCCTGATTTGCTTCCACCAAATTGGAAGCCTGTTGAATCACAACATTACCCCGTACACAGGCTAAATTCTCCTCTCCTTCTTCGGGATTGTCCCTTAAACGGCGGGCCACTTCCGAAGTCATAACACCAGAGCCCCCCTTCGGCTTTCGAGATCTCTTAGTCGGTTTCTTCTTCTCCGAGTTCGGGGAGCCCGATACGTCTTTTCTCTTCCTTTCTTTTACCTGCTTCAGGACAGGAACTTCTTCGCCACCAGATGGGGGCCTCATGACTACATCTTTCCCGAGCCCTACAAAAGGGAAAAGGGAGATTTACCGTACAAACCGATGAAGAGACAAATCGATAAAAGATTTACCATGACTGCGGGCCTCCCATCAACCCTTTGATAATTCGACCCAAGCACGCTCGGAGTATGATCTCTGCAACACCAGACTTTCGACCCATTGTCTAAGATCCGGGATCGGTTCCGGCATTCGAGCTACGGGTGTGATAAGGAAAGAAAAATGGATCAACAAAATAAAAGGCAATCACAAAATCAAAATGGGCAAAAAGAAACGTTCACTCACGGCTCATATTCTATTTTTCGGGAAATAGCAAGTCATCGGCAGGGATTAGGTCCGAGGTTTTGATTCGAACAAAACGGCCCATCCAACCCCGATCCCGGGTCTCGTCTATGCTCGAGAATGGCGCTTTGGTTGATCGGTGAGCAATCTTGATCAACCCTCCTCAATAAAGTTGGGGACTATAAAGGCGCATAAGATGATCGAGGGTGAAGATACTCCCCTCGACCTTGCTCGAGAAAAATCGAAGAAGAGTCACTATCCTCCAAAAGGAAGGGTGAATTTGGCAGAGGGTCATATCATATCTCTTACAAAAGACAACGATGACAGGGTCTAAAGGTCCCAACGTGAAAGGATAAGTGTAAACACTTAAGAACCCTTCGACGTGGGTAGTAATTGATTCATCAGGCGATGGGATTACTACGAGTTTATTATCCCAGTTGCATTCTTGTATGACTTTATCGAGAACTTTTTCGGTAATTGAACATTGATACCTCGACATCGGCTCACACCGACCCGGTATCGGAGAAGGCTTTTCAATTTGAAAATCGCCTACAGTCGAACACCCTACCGGAACGAATTCCTCAGGGCGGGGCTCTTCCACATCCTCACCACCAGCAGATCGAGATGAAGAGGCGGTCTCTTTTTGCGGAACAGTTTTAGACGTTTTTGCCATTTAAATTTTTGTGAGCAAAGAACAGAAGTATTTGGTGTTTTAAGAAAGAATTTGCAGTAAAACTCACAGATTTACAGGCAGAAAACTCCGAAGAGACGAAAAGGAACTTAGTAAAATTGGAAGATTGAAGACGTAAAGTATGAATAATGGAAGGAGAGGCTATTTATAGATTGGAGCAATGGCGGTTCAATATCAGAGGTGGCAGACCACCGTCTGACACATTAAATGCCTTGGTAAAACCGAACCGATGGGACAACCATCACATACGTCATGGTCGAGATCGATGTATACGTCATCATATATCTGATCGAGCTGTTGAGAAATCATATCGTTTCTCGCCGCATCCTTTTTCTGAGAAACGAGGGGACTATCTGTATACGATCGAAATAGATTTCGGCCTCCGTACATTTGATCGAGTTCGAATAGTAAGCGATCGAAGTGAAAGCTCGATACAAATTTCGAGGATAGTACAAACAAGCCTCAACCTCCAAGACCGGTCGAGGAATCGACTCGGTATCATTATCGAGCCCATGACCAAATCGAACCGCAAGGCAACGAGAAGGTTGTTATAGATGCATAGACCGATTGTCACTCACCCCGAATGTCGAACTCAAACTCAAGGCCGAGGGCTCAACCTAATATCGAGCTTGAGCCGGTATCGAGCTCGCAGACAGGAGCTGTTGCAACCGCACTAAGGGAGAGAATCTTGGTAGGAACCGAGGAAGAGACAATTCATCAGGGATTCTTCACTATATATTTTTTATTATAAACCAAAGTAAGATCCCTCTACTATAAAGGGGGGAATCATTGTAAGCACGAGGAGGCAGAGACACTGTAACAAAATATTTTCTTCTCATGGTGAAAGATATCCCCTTGTGTTTACTTCCCTTTATCTTGTTCGTTCTCCATATCACTATTCTCTTTCTCATAGGCAAGAATACACGTATTTCTATTTCTCTATACGATTTGTATCAAATTATATCACATTTTCTTAGAACCATACACAAATTTAACTTTATCCAATTTTTCGGGTAAATATCTTCCACACAAATCGAGTCTCATTCCTCAACTATGTATAATAAGATGACAAACTATTAAAAATGAGCAAACCTACTCAAAAGTGCAATTATATTTTCTACTAATTCTAATGTCATGTATGCATGTAAGATCCTATACTGGAGTATTCATGTAAGCAGCTTGTATTGCAGCAGCAAAAGAACTCAGCAAGCGGAACCAGGATTTGAAACTAATGGGTTCAAAATTTTATTCCTTCTAAGTTACTAGTTTTTAATTTAATAATTTGTACAAATTCAATAAATTTTTAAAGACAAATATGGAATTCAAAGCTACTGGGTTCGGTCGAACCCGCAACCGAAGCTCTAGCTACAGGACTTGCCCCTGTTGAGCAACTTTAAGTGAAATAAACACCAAGTTAGACTTAGCCTTATACAATTGCCTTTGGATAAGGCCATCTGATCCGATATTAATCTAAAGAATAATTTACTAATCAAATTAATGGGCATAAGTGCATTAAACTAAAGAATTTCGTGGTCTTACGGCTAAATATGGTTACTTCAGATTACCTATGATCTAGCTAATCTCTTTTAAGGTGGCAGTATAGATATAATATACCCTAACTCATGTGAGAAGCTAGATTTTTGGACTTAAATTTTGAAACAAGAAAGGTTAAACTACGATAAATTCCATAAACCGACAAGACAAGAAAAAAAATGCCACAATTCAGTTTCTTTCGTACGGTGCGAGATATGTAGTCATAACTGCTATGCCCTGCACCTTTTGTGGTTGGTCAGTATTATGAGAGTAAGAGTAGTTGGGGCAATTAAAAAGAGTAGTTGTGTTTTGCTATCTATAGTCACTTTAAGGCACATGAATGCTTCAATTCGAGCTCATCCACTTGAGTTTGGACACTTCACCACCTTTCTACATCACTGCCACTCATAAGTGTTGGGACAAAGTGTTGTTGAATATACTGTCCATGGACCTTCAAACCTAACAACTTGAACTTTGTGTCTCATCCATCCTACCAAATTGATATTTTGACGAAATTCATAGTATTGAAATAATCAGGTGTCATAACAAAATTAACAACTTACGGACGGTAAATCAGACAACAATAGATGTATTGGAAAAAGGTCATAACAAAACTAGAGGAAACGACATCCACAAGTACTGTTGATCTTGTATCAGTGTTAACACTACATTTAATATGTAAAATTTTGTTTCGAGTCAGTCGTATTAATCAAGCTTTGGAGAAGAAATGACATGATTAATTGGTTTCTATAGGACTAAAAGTAAGTGTAGTTCCAAAACCTATTTTATACTTAATTTAATTCACCGCGCGAAAGGGACATGCTGTCTTTTTAGACTAAAAAACTATGCCTTAGTCTTGGTGATGGAACTATATAATATTGCAAAGAAGAATAAAGTGTATAGTTCAGAATACAGGAAATTAAAAGGGCTAGTAAGTAGTACGTGTAGGTGCTGAAAATATGGTGAAAGAAAATCTACTAACTGGCGGATCAATATTTGTGGAGAAGAGAAATCACTGTGTCATTTATCCAGCCAATGGCAGTATGGTAGCAAAGTCTGTGGAAAGAAGAAACAAGAACTGGTAAAGTACATATTCTCTTTGTTTGTCTCAATTGATACTTATTTAAATTTTAATCCTCTTCAGTGGTTAATGAATGTAACTATACTAGTGCAGGTTTGTCCAGACAAGAATTGCAAGTGATTTGATAGTACAAATTAAAGACAAAAGCTTCCACTTGCATAAGGTAACAGCTACACTGTCCAGTTCTTCAATTTGAGAGGAAAAATCCCAACGTCCGAACTGCACATTAGATAAATTTCAACTTGCATAAGGTGACAACTGAATGTTTGATAAGGGTACTTCCTGTTGAAGAAAACTCAGTTCCCTGCAATTTTCTGCTTCATCTTTTCAAGATTGGGCTTATTATGAATATTGATCAAAGATTACAAGATCAGCTCAAAACAAGAGTAGCTTTCTTGTTGGAAAGCTGTAGTGCTAAAGACCTTCTAGTAAGGAACAGCACAACTCTTTTCGACGTAGATATTGTTATTCAAGTAGTAGAAGCTTATGTCTCGCTTGCATCAAATAATCCCAACTCAAAAATGTCTGTTGTCGGGAGACTAGTAGACGATTACCTTGCCCTCGTATCAAGGGACGAGAACCTTGTAGTGAGAAGCTTTTACTCTCTTGTAAATGCATTGCCAAAAGAAGCACGATCTTGTGATGACAACCTATATAGGTCGATAGACATGTACCTCAAGGTATGCATATATAATGTATTCCCTCATTTCCTCCAATCTCAAAAAGTTGATTCAGAGTTTGATTCAAGTATAATGGAAATGAAATGAAATGGTTTGTTGCAGGAACATCCTGACCTAACAGAAGAAGAAAGAAGCAGCATATGCAGAAAAATGGAGTACCACAAGCTATCACAGGAAGCGCGAACACATGCCATGAAGAATGATAGGCTGCCGGATAATATCAGGACACAATTTATACTTGTTGAACAGATCAATATGACAAGGTTACTAACTTCAGCTGGTTCAAGTTACCAAAGGACTAAGTCACAGACCATAATGAAAGTCAGCAAAGGTGTAGGCAAGAGTTGGATGAATTCCTCCCAAAATGAAATGGAAGTGATGAAACAAGAGGTTGAGATGTTAAAGGCTCAAGTTGGTGAACTGAAGCAATGTAGGAGGGAACTTCAAAGGCAAACCAAGAAATCTGTTTGTTGTTAGTTCCTTATGTTTCATGTCTGCTACGGATTTGGTTCCTTGATTTTGACCATTGTAATTTCGAAGTGTTTTTGGTTAATCAACCTTAAGATGCGGAGTTATTTTCAAACTTTGGATTAGTAATAATTTTTTTTACAATTTTAAAATCAAATATGCAATATTTAGTTATATCGTAAAAATACTTGTAATAGGTCAACAGATCGACAATGTTACCATATTCTACCAAAGAAACTGTTAATATAGGCCAACCTTCACGCTCATCAAAATATTCCCTTGAAATTTAATTTTAATTGGGAGCTAACGATGTCATCTTTTTGTAAGTTAGTGGGACACTACAGAATTACCAACTAAAATGTACAAAGTACTCCGTTGGTTTCATTTTATGTGCCATTTTTTTTTTGTTTATTTGTTCTCAAAAGAATAACATATTTCTTTATTTAAAATAATTTAATTCGTAAACTTTTTCCTGACATGATTTTAGAGTTAAATTATTATTAAACCACTATCATATTTGAAATCACTAGCTTCAAAGTTATTTTTTTTATAAAAAAAATTGATGACCTCAAAAAAAATGAAATGGATCTTAAATTCTATTTTTCTTTCTAACAAGTGATGCGATATTTGTTGGAACACATGCAACTTAAAATGGGAACATTCAACAAAACTTTTTGGGGGCGCGGTGGGGGTTTGGGTTAGTTAGAAACAAAGGAAAATAATAAAAAAGGAATAAATTAGAGGAGTTCTTTTATTTTGGCAGTTGTCCATGTCTGAAGACGGACGAAACGCGGCGGAGCAACCGGCCTCCGACCCAAACCCGTGCCCTATTTGTCTTGCCCCAGTTACTGAAGAGTCCTACTTGGATCAATGTTTCCGTACGCCTCCTTTCTTTTTTAGTTTTACACATATCCTCCTGTAGTTTATAAGCAAGCAGTCATTGTTAAGATGCAGTTTCATAAGTTTTAAGCTCCAATTTACAGCTTGTTTGGATCGTTGTTACCCATTGTATCGTATTGTATTATTTTCTCAAAATAATATTTGTTTTGATTGTTTAGTTAAAATTGGTTGTATTGTATTTTTAAATCCATTGTTTTAAAATTGGTTGTATTGTATCCTATGCTCCTTTCTACGTGAAGTCTAATAACCTATATAAATTCTCAAAGACAGCATCCCAAATATAAGCTATATACGTGAAGTCTAATAACGTGAAAATCTCGTTCCTTCTGCCGCTTCCAAACTCTTCAGGTATAGGTTTTCCATAACTTTTGTTTTATTCTTTCTTCTACTTTAATTTGTAATTCCAATTCTAATTACTTTATCTCCAATTAGATTTATGATATTGGTTGTTAGGAAATATTACTTATGATCTAAATTCTAAATGGAGTCTACTTAACATTTTTTTATTTTATTTATTATTATGATCTAATTATGAACATAGTGTACTTATTATTATTTTTAATATTATTAACTTGTTCCACTAATTTCGATAGGATTTGCATGAATTTAATTGCTTAACTTATATATAAGACATAATTGGTGATAAATTAGTAGAAAGTAGTTTTCTTAAATAATTTTTATGTGTAATTCTTGATAAATTAAAGATTTAAAACAATTGAGGGTATTTTAGTAAACTTATCAGTTACTGTACAGTACGATACAGTCAAACCAAACAGCAAAATGTTATTTAACAACAATAAACAATACAGTCTATCCAAACATTGTATTCATAAAACGATACGATCCTATACAATAAAGTACAATACGATACATTATAAAACGATGGGTAACAATAATCCAAACAGAGTGTTAGGGAGTACCTTTCATATACTTTGGCTCTTTTTGCATAATTATTAATAAGTGGCATTTTGCCAAGTAATTGTAAAGTGTATAAGCTGTGGAAGAAAGCTATGTACGGATTGTTTCTGAATAAATCAGTTATCAAGTGCTTAAACCATCATTTTATTTCTGCAGACAAATTTTGCTACAATTGCATTCTGCGTTGGACCAAAGTGGTTACAAGCAAGCAGTCTCGTGCACCTGCTTCAGTAAAGTGTCCTTTATGTAAGGTCCGAACTTGTTCTATCATCCTTGTTGGTTTCCTATTTCTTCTAAGTGTTCTTATTTCATGAGCATTAGTATAGATCCTCTCAAGAATGGGTAGCAGTTAATTGTAATTGGTAGAACTAATTTTTTGGGGCATTGATTGATGAACTACTATTAGCAATGATATGATTCCCCCTAGATGCCACGCCTTTCACGAGAGAGAGCGCTTTAACTTTGCAGTTACTTCTAGAAAAATGAAACATTTTCTGCTAAGAAGGATTTGAGAGGATTCCAGTACTTTAATAGTGTGTCACACTTGTGAGGTCAAGATCATGGGACTACATATTTGGTCTTACAAACTTTTTGCTTGATCTGAAGAGTTGTCATGGAGCCTTGAACACAGTGTGGATATACCAAAGTGGATAGATCATAGATGTGTGAATATATTTTGTTTGTAAATGTTTTTCTGAACTTAATCAGATATTGGTCTCTTTAGAGCTCTGTGTTGACTTTTGTTTGCCTATTGAATGTTTTGGAGTAGCTTGTGTAAATTTTATTTGGTGGGGAAATTTGTATGTATCTGGGTATTGAAATGAAATATACATGGATTCTTTTTTCTTTTATCTGATCTTTGATGTACTGTATCAACATTTTGTCCAAAACAAAAAGGAGGCACAAAAAGACACGAAATTGACCATTACAAGCAGTAATGATGTTAAAAGCTCGATAAAAGCTCAAGTTACGTGCCTTGCCTTTCTCTGAGCCAAGTTGCTAGGCATGCGTCTCGTCAACCAGTAACTTTCTCATTAAGAGGCAAGCACTATACATTAGATATCGTTAGCAAAGTGATACATTTTCATCTTGCTTTTCTGGAGGATTCTATATTTATTTTACTTGTGCTTTTGATGTAAATTGAAATCACTCTATATTTCTGACTCTTCTAATAACTTAGAAAAATTTCTCATTCTTCTATTATTAATTTAAAATTATGCTGGATTTTGTTTCTTTCAAATCAATGCTCTTCTTTATGCAGACAGAGAATTTTTCTATTATAAAGAGCTACGGTGGAAGGTTTTTTCAACAACATTATGTGAATGAAAACTTGGACAATAGGTAGCAAAGTCCTCTATACTTCTTCTGCTTTGTATGTTCTCCCTTTGTTTTTTACTATTCTAAATTAACTTAATTGTTTGAAATTTGTATTCCAGTGTGTTCTTCACAAAAGCTCACAAGTATAGATTGCAGTGCTACTATACTAATGAAGGTAGAGTGCTTTCTATCACTGATTTACATATTCTCCATTTCTAGTGGATATCTTTCATGAGATATCACCTTGCTTCCAAGAACATAAAATTGGTAGTTCTGCAGGGGGCTTATTTGACAAATTCAACGTGCCACGTTATTGGAAGTTGCACAAGTATCTGCAGCCTAGTCCTTGGCTTATAAGTTGGTTGAGAAGAGAAATTCAGGCTGTGACTCAGGTCCTTCAAACTTATCATTTTCATTGTTTAAATGTTGTAATCTTCGGTATAGATGCACTTCTAACTCAATCTCTTAATAGCTTTTGATTATGATGGTCAATAAAGACAATGATCCTTTGGATAACAAAAATGAAAAGCATATTTAATGATTCCGAGAGAAAACAACTTGCTGATTATTATTGTGTGCTAACTTGTTTCTTACATTCTTTGTCCGTGTTTATAGTGAAGTCAGTGTTATCAAAGGCGAAAAGCGCAAAAAAGCTCTAAGGCCCGTTGGGGCTTTAAGCACAAAGCGCAAATAAAGCGTGAGCTTTAATGAAAAAGGCGCAACTGGAAGAAAAAGTAAAAATATGTATATGTAGTCCAAGACCAATAATTATAAGCATGAATAACAAATACATGGACAAAAAAAGTTGAAGAAAAAATAACGATAAAGTGAAATATCAATTGTTCAGTGTCGCATTTTTAGGATTACACTCATTGGCAAGGAAAGTATGCCTTAGAGCCTTGATGCGACACCGAAGCGCCCGCAAAGCGAGGGGAAACGCTCAACATGTTTTGAGCCTAGCTTTAGGGCTTAAGCGCGCCTTTGACAACACTGAGTTGAAGTATGGAGGTGAAAACTCTTTCATTTCCAGAATGAACTAGTTTTTTGGGTTCTGTGTAAGGTCGAAAGAGTACCAATTTGCAACCAATAGGAAACTGTTTACAGAACCGGCATGTCCGTGGGTATTTCTTAGTCAATCTTTAGTTAATCTTAAGTTAAAGTGAATGTTGGTGTAACTGGACAACTTTTCCACTAAGAGTCAGAGGTTGAAGTCACTGGGATTTAATAATCTCTACAATGTTTCTGCCTAAGTTGAAGTGAATCTTGGTGTAACTGGACAATGTTTCCACTCAGAGTCAGAGGTTGAAGTCACTGGGATTTAATAATCTCTGCAATGTAGGGGTACATCTGCCTACAATCCCTAGTCTGATCCATGGAAAAGCTTCTTGTGACTAGTTGTCACCAACAACCTGTTTCTCATCTTAGGCGAGTGACTTCCTATATGCCTATTTTCCTCCACAAATAGTAAAAGTTGCAACCATAAAGAGCATATATTAAAAATAATTCAACATAAATTGATGCCATTTTGGTCCCAATTTCTCATAAAATGATATGTAAACATTACGAATTGGTTAAAATAGGATGTTGTAAAACGGGATTGTGAATAAAAATTGTAAAACGGGAACCATGGAGAACTTTGCTGATTACTTGATTATGTCATTCTCATTGCAACAATACATCAAAGTATGACTAGGTACATACTAATATTAAATTGATAATTCAATAATTCGCTCATCCTTGTAACATCACAAACGTTATTTTATAACATTTCTGCTAAGTAATTCTTTTCCGCGCCATGCAGGAAGAAGATGTAGATATTATTGTACATCATATACTTGGTGTGATTGATTCATTTAGAAGGTAATGTATAAAGTAAATTGTTATAATCTGCATGCATTGAACTCGCCAACATCAAGGTAACCTCTTTGTTTGCTTTCACCTCTTTGGGAAAACTAAATGACATGTTCTTAAAAATCAGTTACCTAGTATTATTGTGTTACTGTTCTCATGTTCACTTAATTGATCTTCATTATACATTTTCAGTGTAACATGAATGCTTAGACAACTGTTAATGATGCAGAAACGATCCAAAGCAAATAAAAGATACTCCACAAGCAAAGCAAGAAGAGTTCAAGATCATGGTGTCTGAAGCAGCAAGACCTTTCCTAACTGGTCGAACTGATCGATTTCTGAACGAGTTAGAACTGTTTCTAGCTTCATCTTTGACTATTGATGCTTTTGATAGTGTTTATATCCAACATTTGGGTTGGAAAATTCCTGAAAAGATCGAGGAGGGTGAGGTAGGAGAACCAGTTGAACAAGGCCCTTTAGTTCCCTATTTATACTTCTTTGATGAGGATTCTGATGGAAATGAATAGAATACTGTCCTTAAATGTTAAAGGATAATAAGTTCACCTCACTTGCCAGATTTTAGCTGGTGCGCGGTTTGTCAACCCTGGATAACGTGTTTTGTTATTTCTCAAATCCATGGTTTTGAACTCTCGCACACATGCTTGATCATCCATGTTTTCAAATTACAACAGCTCCAGATTTACTTCTGAAATTAGCTTGCTTAAATTGTTTAGTTCAAAATTTTGCCTCTATCATACAACTACAGAAATCAATTTAAATTAGTGCAAGGCATGTATAGCTCATATGTAGTTGTTCTTTGATTTGTTTAAGTTCCACTACAATTTTTCAATTGATTCTGAATACATTTTCATGTTACTAAACATTCACATAGTTTTTATGTGTTAAAGCAAGAGATATATAAAAGGTTAAACGGGCATGATTGGCAGGCGTCAATATGCTACATGTAACATGACTTTGATAGCCCTATATGTCAGGCGGCAACAGTCCAAATAGATGGCGTTTTGCGAAGAATCAATCAATATTCCACTTAGTCGGCCAATTGCCCTAGTTTAACAAAAAAATAAATAAATAGTCCGGTGCACTAAGCTCTCGCTATGTGCGGGGTTCGGGAAAAAGTCAGACCATAAGGGTCTATTGTACGCATCCTTACCCTGCATTTCTATAAAAGGCTATTTCAACGGATTGTACCCGTGACCTTCAGGTCACATGGCATCAACTTTAACAGTTACGCTAAAGCTCCTCTTCTGTCCTAATTTAGCAACAAAAATAATAATCAGAGAGCACCATGATTTGTAACAGGATTAATTGATCAGGATTTTTTAAGAAAAAAACGGTCTCGTGCATTAGGGCAAATCTACGCAATAACTTTTAATTAGATTTTATAAATATATTAAAAATTTACTAAATATTTAACTTATGATTATTATTATTATTAATATTTTCCATACGATAAATATAATTTAGTGACACCAACCTCCCGTCCATGATGAGAGTGATTTGGTACGGGGGGTCAGAAACAAACAAAAGGAGGAATATTTTTTTTTAACACCAAAAGGAGGAATCAGAAGGAAATTTGTGACCTTTCTAATAAAATTCTCCGCCATAACTAACCAACAAGGTAGGCAACACTCGAGCAGTCCAGCAGTCAGGATTCAGCTGCAGCAGCCATTCTCGACCAAGCGCAGTCTCCTTCTGACTCAAGACCATCACCTATATATAGGCACAGTTTCGTATCTGGACTAACAGAAAAAGGGAGAGAGAAAATGGAGGTGAGAGCAAGAGCCCCTGGGAAAATAATATTGGCTGGAGAACATGCTGTGGTTCACGGATCAGCTGCCGTTGCCGCCTCCATCGATCTCTATACTTACGTCTCCCTTCGCTTCCCTACTCCTGCTGGTATACATTCTATTCCATTCCTCAATTTCAATTTTATTTATTATCAACTGTAATTATGATTTCTCAATCTAATTTCCTGCCTATAATTCCGTACTGAGGTTGCTCAATTTCATAAATAATGTGTTTGAGGCTTTTATTGAGCTCAGTGTGCTGGTAGATCTAGTATTTGGGCCTGCTAATTGACATTTGATAGTAACGCTCTTCAATTTTACCCTTTCCAGTTCTCTTCTATTTCCTTTTTAAAATATCCAACCCTTACTTCAATTAATACTTAGACATTGTTATCGTCCTATATGATAAGAAATAACCTTACAACACTATCCTCCTACTTTATCCTACATCTTGTATGGGTATCTTATACTCCATTTGCCAACTTTATATCTGATCAAATATTGGAAAATGATTTTTCGAAAGAGACATTGAGTTTCGTAAAAATGTATAATTATATAATAAAGTGTCTGTGTATGTATAATGATCATTGAATTATAGGCTTTTTGTTACTAAATGGGACCGGCTGATTGGTTAATGTATTGCCTATGCTCATTGTTCCCTGCCCTGCTTTGATATTGAGATGAGATCTATCTGGAGTTTAAACTGACCTCTAGGATATGTGGCATATGCTGGATCTATCTTTACAATGGATGAACTAAGATAGCAGTCTGAGAAATATGATAATTGTTAAAATTCAAATTTTACTAGTCTAAGCAGATTATTTTTCTTTGTAAGACCAAAAAGAAAAAATTGCTTTTACCCAAACTGTTGTTTCCTTTTCATGATAATCCTAATATGTTTAATGGTTTCTTCAGTTAGTTTTCACTAATGCGTTTCTTTTCTTCTTAATCTCTTTGGGGAATAGATAATGACGAAACATTAACCCTCCAGCTTAAGGATGTGTCATTAGAATTTTCCTGGCCAGTTGCAAGAATTAAAGAGGCTTTTCCAAACTCGGAAACTCAGATTCCACCTTCCTCGTGCTCACTAGAGACTCTTAAATTAATTGCTTCTCTAGTTGATGAGCACAACATTCCTGAGGCAAAGATAGGGCTCGCTGCTGGTGTCACAGCTTTTCTTTGGCTGTTCACCTCAATCCATGGGTATTAACTTCAATTCCCTTTACTTGACCTCTTAATATTCTTAAAACAGACTTCATATTATCACATTGTCTTTCGATTTAATTGCCTAATTAGATGCAAACCAGCAAAAGCAGTGCTCTCTTCTGAGCTTCCACTGGGATCAGGCTTGGGTTCGTCTGCAGCTTTCTGTGTTGCACTCTCTGCGGCCATTCTTGCGTTGTCAGATTCAGTAACTATGGATTTCAGCCACCAAGGTTGGCAAGTATTTGGAGAGAATGAGCTGGAATTGGTGAATAAATGGGCTTTCGAGGGAGAGAAAATAATTCATGGGAAGCCATCTGGTATTGACAACACAGTGAGCACGTATGGTATGTGACGATAGCCATAGTTACTATGTCTTCTTTCCTTTTATGATATGTCAAGCAATCACAGAACAAAGAAAACACCAAGTCAAGCTGAAAAGGGGCATTAATGCAGGGAAATATCTCAACTTTTTGCGTAATCGGGTGAAATGCATATATGCTAATTTGTGATTGAGAAGTGAGAAATAGGTATGAATTTAGAGTTAATAAGCAATTAGCAAAATAAAGAAGATATCTTAAAGAATCTGTGGATGCCAGTAAGAAGAAAAGGCACGTGATTAACTTGAAAGCTTCCCAATTTTAAACATTACTAGTTTTAGAGTACATGCGTTGCACGTGAATATTGCGTCAATAATAAAAAAAATTATTAAAAACTTATATTCTTCGCTATATAAATAACTATTTATAGAATTAAAGCAGTAAATGATGTAGAATTTAATAAAAAAGCAAAGACAAAGTACAATTATGAGCTAAATATTAAATGTTGTGCCAGAACAAATTGATCCTCATTTAAACTAAAATTGGAATTTATAAAAAAAACAGTTGGAGCTTCCTAAATTTCATTTCACTTATAGACACCGTTGAGCTTTTATAATTCAAATGCTCTCATACTATAAGAATTGTCTGACAATTGACAAAAATATTCTAACATATTAATCAAGGTGCTTGGTCCTGTCATTACCCTTGAAAAGTAAAAGAATAAAAATTTCTAACTCAAATTTAATCAACTGCGCTCCTTAATCAATAAAAAAGAATAAAATAAAAGAAATAAGAGTTAATTTAATCCATACTCATCATACATATTGGCAGTACAATGCAATAAAAATTTCCAACTCAAATTTATTCGAAAAAATCTTGTGAATGAAAACTCATAATATAGATAATTTAGAGGAAGAGAAACAATAGAAGAATAGATACATAAAAGAAGAAAGGTCGGGACTGAAAATACAAACATACCCAGATGATTAATTCAAAATTAACACTACATAAATACAATCACATACAATGATAGTGATGATAGAGATCATTGGCCTCAGGAAAGACTGATATTCGTACTTGAGGAAATATTGATAAAGCGGCTAACTCATACAATTAAAGCAAGACGGAATGCTTAGTTCATCTGGATACAACTGCATACAGTGTCATGTGAAGTAGTTCATCTTGGTTATTTTCAATGAAAAACTTGTTCCAAATTTTTTTTATTCGCCATTCATATAGCTTCATATGAATATGAATCTTTTCTGAAATTAGAACTCTATTAGGAGTTTGTTTTAGTGCCTTCCTTACGTGGGAGATTGTAATATCTAATTGCATTGAAAAGAAATAGGAGTAACAAAAAGTCACAGTGAAAAATTCATAGTAGATCTCAAAATCCTAAATATTAGTAAAAAGTAAAAAAATAAAAATATTAATTGTAATTTTTATTCCTTTTTTATACTTAAAGGAAAAAAAACTCCTAAAGTGACATTGCTGGAATATGAACCGACCTTAATGAGTTTGAAACCTACTCATTCTCTTCCTCCATTTCCTTTTAAATCTTACGAAAATTTTGATTTTTTAATAAGAAAACAAACACTAAATATCTATTTACAATTTTATCCAACACGGAATGTTTATACGAAGGGTAAAAAAGGCGAACGACATTTCGATAGGGGCTTCGTGCTTTTAATATAGTATAGATACTTCAGATTATAAATAGTAGAACCATAGTCCACTATAAGACTTTTCAGTTTATATCTGTTTAGTCACCTTAAAATGACTCCAGAATAACAGCTTAATCTAAGGGGAATTGCCTTTTTCAGAAATTTCACATAAAGAATTCATTAGGCTTTCCTTCCCTATGTTAGACCAGCAGATAGTTTTCTGTGTTCTCCTACCTTTTTGTAAAATTTGCTTGCTATATTCATCTAGAACATCTACTTCAAACAGTTGCACTGTGAAACTAATTATGCTTTTGGAACCATGATATGAATGTGTTGCGCACCTCTCCAAAATAATGCCGTACCCGTGTCGTATCTTCCAAAAATGCACTACGTTTGGAGGATCTTGCACGCATCCGGCGAAATTTCCGGAGAGCCCGAGCAACATAAAGAAGTATCATTAGTGATCTATGAGGAATTAGTGAGATTAATTATGGATTTTAACTATGTTAGCAACACTTATATTATCTTCTATATAAGCAACTCTAAATTTCTCTAGGTGTCTCAGTTATTTGTCGTATGATAAAAGTCATCTTCAGTGTTCGCTTGAAAGCTATATATGTTATAGTGCCAGAAATGAGAGAAGTTTGTCCTCATCACACCAGAATCAAACAAGAACAGGAGACTATGTAAACACTAAGCTCCCTCCCGTATTAACAGAGAAAGGAACTTGAAGCAAGACTGATGTCCACCGAAAATAGGTCTTACTACTGTTGACAGTGAATTAACTTTTGATTTGGACTCATATTGCATGGCGCAATATATATAAAAGAAACCTTGTCTTACCAGTTAGGTTATGTTAGTTTTCCACTTGTTTGAGTCTTCAGCTATTTAGACATGATGGAGGTGGTCGAGGCAGAAAATTTTCATTTTCAGGAGAAGTGGGCACAGTCAGCATGGAAAAGATCCTAGCAGTCACAATATAAAACATATGCAGATATTTTTTGAGATGCTAATAGCGAATATTAACATATAATTACTTACATTTCTTTTTTTATTCACCTTGCATATTCTATATTGCTCAATTATTAAAACTTTTTGTTTTCAGGGAGACGAGAATCGTTCTCTCTTCTTCTTTTGCAATTCTACCAATTAAACTTTACATATATGTCCTTTTTATATTCAGTGTTACAAAACTTACAATGACGTCTTAGATCCATTAGAGAATCTGAATTTGCTATTCATGAAGATAAATGAAATCTAATTAGAACAGACGAGCTATTGTAGAATTGACTCCTGCATGGCAATGGAAGATCTATTCTTAGGGAAGCTCCTGAGTCACAATGTTAATCTCTCTCATCATTGGCAGTTTTTTGACATTCTTCTCCTTTTATGTGTTTTTTCTTTGGGAGACGTGGTTTGGATAGTCACTTGCTCTTCATGTTCCTCCTTCTAACACCAAGGTATCTGTAAATTAATGTTCCTAAATTATTTTCCATGGTAGATTTTTCTTCTATTGTTAAGAAATATAGAATACTTCTAATTTTCAGAACTCTATGGAAGGATATGTCAGGATTCTAATAACTTCACAACCTATAAATGTTACTTACAGGAAACATGATCAAGTTTAAGTCAGGCGCTTTGACACGCCTCAAAACAAACATGCCACTTAAAATGCTGATCACTAACACAAAGGTCGGGAGAAATACGAAGGCATTGGTAGCTAGCGTCTCAGAAAGGACCTTGAGGCATCCGACTGCAATGGCTTCTGTTTTTACTGCAGTGGATTCTATCAGTAGTGAAGTGGCTGCAATTATTCAATCACCTGTCCCGGATGATCTAGCCATAACTGAGAAAGAAGAGAAACTGGAAGAGTTGATGGAGATGAACCAAGGATTGCTTCAGTGCATGGGTGTTAGCCATGCTTCTATAGAAACTGTTTTTCGAACAACTCTAAAGTACAAACTATCTTCCAAGTTAACTGGAGCTGGTGGTGGAGGCTGTGTTTTGACATTATTACCAACCCGTATCCTTTCATTTATCTTCCTTCTGATAAATGCCTTCTATTCAGAATGTGCTTTTTATATGGTATCTCCATTCATTATTGATATTTTTGGCGTTAGACTTAATTGCTCCAGGATGTGACTTTTCATCATTTTTCATTTTACCTTTACACTCCATCTGCTTTATCTGGCTGCATAAATGCGCTGCATTGGCTGATGGGGTACTGGATATCCGATACATTGATTAATGTGTCTGCTTCGCCATACTGTTTTTCATTGATATACACGGGTTTCTGTAATAACTGATGAAGTTCATGCACACATAAAGTTTAGGTCCCTGAACATCTCTGGAAGGGTAAAACAGTTATTCACTAGGACAGATCTCTATATACCTAGAAAATTTGACCTGTGTTTAAGTGTGTCTGAATTTGATTCTTTATCACTAGCGCCATTGCTTTACACATGGTGGCATAAGCAAAAGCTTGTGGAACCAATATCTTATCTGAAGGTAGAATTGCAATCCTTGCTTGACCTAAGGAAGGTCAGGAATATATGATATTTGCTTCTACACCTACTCACCGTTCTCACATCCTTTTTGTCCCAACTATTTGTCAAATTTTTCATTTTCTGCAGCTTTTTTAGAGTGTTTTATATCCATCTCTCCTTTGCTGATATATATACTTGGTCTTTGACCTCTCTTGAAAACCAACTCGACACATAATAGTCTTCCCTATAGATTGTATATATCATGTGCTGCTTTATATGAGACTTGCTGCCGAGTTCCCCACATTTGATCTTTTAGTCTCTTTTAACTTTCCTTGACGACAATTTCCAGTTCTGTCAGGAACAGTTGTTGATAAAGTGATAGCTGAGTTAGAAACGTGCGGATTCCAGTGCTTGCTTGCTGGAATTGGTGGAAATGGCGTGGAGATTTTATTTAGTGGCACTTCCTGATTGTAATACCCATAGGCAGCAGTTTGTCATAAGATCTTTCTCTGCATTCTTGAATATAGATATGGAGGTGCCAGCTTGTGACCATTCGCAATCTAAGGAACATCAAAACCCTGCCATCCACGTACTGGTCTTTGAACTTGGAGCATTGTAGAAAAGTTTTTTATACTTCTCATTTCTCTTCTAAAACATCAATTGCAATAAGAAGATTCCTAGTTTTGATGGTTCGAAGGACACGGTTACACTAATTTTAATTCCGAATTTCTTAGTTCTTGGACGTTCCTCCTATTTTATATTTATATAGTTGTTGAATCTTCCTAGTTCTTAGATCCTTATGGTTGCTATCAGTTTCGTCCAGACCATATTTAACAGTAGCGGAACTTTGTTTTAAGCGCAACGCAGACACAGATAAGAGGCAAAAGAGATCAGTATCTTGAAGAGAGAAGTGGAGTATTATTTTATTGACGCCACTCAAGAACCATGGTACAAAACATACAAACACATACTTCGTACATTTAAAACTATCACAAAACGGATCCCAGCTTTGCATGAAACCGACGATAAGACTCGCAAAGAGGCTTTAACCATTGACAATGGTCCCACCTGCAAAGCCAACAAAACAAATTTTAGACCCTAATAATCTAATGCAACGTATTAAACATAACAATGCAGAGCTTGGCTATGTAAAGGTTCCAAGTTACCATTAGGGTGGATGACTTGGCCAGTTATATAGGAGGATTCAGGGCTAGAAGCTAGGAAAACATACGAAGGGGCCACCTCTATAGGCTGACCAGCCCTTTTCATTGGCACTTGTTTCCCAAAATTCGCACTTTCCTCTTCAGTAAACGAAGCAGGAATCAGTGGTGTCCAAATTGGACCAGGGGCAACGCCATTAACACGTATTCCCCTCTCAACAAGCTGAAGAGCAAGTCCTCTAGTAAATGCAACTATTGCACCCTTTGTAGCTGTGTAATCAAGAAGCTTGGCATTCCCCTTGTATGCAGTCACTGATGTTGTGTTTATTATGCTGCTACCTTCCTTCATGTGTTTCAAAGCATGCCTTCATCCAAAACATCATTTGAATTCTGTCAAAACGTTATTAATCCCATTTAATATCAGAATTTTTATGTTATGTTATAATATATGTCCTAACAGGACTTTACTATAGCAGTCACCGAGACTATTTTAGAGAGGGTTAGTTGCAGCATTGGTTCTAAAGACTGTTTTAGAATAATACCAACCTAGTGACAAAGAAGTAAGAAAAGATGTTAGTTCTAAAGACTCTCTCAAGCCTCTCCTCATTGATCTCCTCAACAGAGGTAGCCTCGTACTGCTCTGCAGCATTGTTCACCAGAATATCAATTCGCCCATAGGAATTCACAACCTCATCAACCACCTTCTTGCAGTTGTCATCAAATCCTAAATCAATCGGCACCGCCATTGGATCCTTTGCATCAGCAGCTTTGGCTTGTCTTAGCAATTCAAGTGTGTCTTGCGCATCTTTCTCTTCTTGAGACTTAACGTAAGTGAAGGCCACGGTTGCGCCCTCTAGGGCAAAGCAATGGCAGACTGCTCGTCCTATGCCAGAATCGCCTCCTGTCACCAGCGCTACCTTGTCCTTCATAAATGATCATAGATTATTTTTCATATTAACAAAATAAAGTAAGAGCACTACGTATTCACTAAACTAGCCTATAGAGGAACATTCTCCTACATGCACATGCTCTATCAACACCTCCAAAATTATGGTATGATATTGTGCCTTCTTCATATTTTGTTCGTTTATACAAGATGATCTTCCATAATTAGAAAGTATGTGAGATTAATAACCTAAATAAAATAAGACTAGTTATTTGTAATATGTTAAATCCTGCTAATTTTGAAACTAAAGGCCATAGTAGTACGTAGTTACACTTGGAGGAAAGAAAATGAAGTAAATGAATTACTCGAAGCTTGTTGGCAGGCTTATAATCCTGGCTAGAATGGTGAGGAGTGGGGTCCATGGCATGTTCTTTGCCAGGCTGAGTTTCCTGTTTCTGGGGTGGGAATGTTTGGCCACCAGACGCCATTGATCTCACTATCACCGTCGGAAATTCTTCTCTTTGTGGTGTTATTTCGAGTAGCGAAAAGGAAACTGCAGGGAGAAAACTGATGAGGGCTACTGTCTATAAGGTGAGTGGTGAAAGTGGAAGATAAAGCTCTAGTCGAATAAGGAATTAGAAAACGAGAGAGTACATACATATACGTGGTAAAGTAAATCAAAGTAGTGAGTGAGGAAGAATAATTATTTGGGAAATTAAAGCTATTTATTATATATGTACGGAGGAAAACGGTGGAAGAGTAGTACGTGTCTTGTTCAGCCGCATGCAGCGGACACGTCGGTAGAAACGGACGTCATATGGGCTTAATTTGGAGGACAAAGAGCTTGATCCTCTTATACTATTGTCTTTTTCGCTGAAATTGTGTTTAATTTGTTGGTGTTATAAAATAAAGACAGTAAAGAAAAGACAAGTATAAAGATAAACTGATATATTATTTAAATTTTAAACTTATGTACATAATGAATTGAATTCTCCTTTATTTATAAAAGAAAGGAAGTTGCTGTGTAAGCTGCTACTGCAAGCTGATGTGTAAGCTGTTACTGCAAGCTGCTGTGTAAGCTGCTTGTAAGCTGCTACTCTAAGCTGTTGTGCCAGATATAGATAATCTTCTATCATGGGTAATATTTATCCATAACGGAATACCGAAAGGATAAGTTTCTTCAGGAGACTTATTTTCAATAGAGTACTAAATAGATAAATATATTTACGGCGGAGTCTCATATGGATAAACTTCTTCAGGAAGTTTATTTACAATGGAGTACTAAATAAACATCCATAATATAATATATTCATAACACTCTCCCTTGGATGTTCATTAAAAGATAATGTGCCTCGTTAAAACCTCACTAGGAAAAACCCTGTGGGAAAAAATCCTAGTGAAGGAAAAAGAGCACATATTTAGTAATACGCATTGCTAGGTGCCTCATTAAAAACCTTATAAGGAAAATCCTGTGGGAAAAAACCTTAATAAAGAAAAAAGAGTACATCGCTTATTTTACTCCTCCAGATGAAAACCTTGTTTCAAATATTTAAATCTCTGCATTCCAATCTTGTATAACATCTTCTCAAAAGTTGAAGTTGGTAAAGATTTGGTGAATAAATCTGCCGGATTGTCACTTGAACGGATTTGTTACACATCAATGTCACTATTTTTCTGAAGATCGTGTGTGTAGAACAATTTTGGTGAAATGTGCTTTGTTCTATCTTCCTTTATAAATTCTCCCTTCAATTGCGCTATACATGCAGCATTGTCTTGGTATAAAATTGTGGGTCTTTTCTCACATTCCAAACCACATTTTTCTCGAATAAAATGAATTATTGATCTCAACCATACGCATTCCCTACTTGCTTCATGAATAGCTATTATCTCAGCGTGATTTGAAGAAGTAGCAACAATAGATTGCTTTGTGGAGCGCCATGATATGATAGTACCTCCATATGTAAATACGTAGCCGGTTTGAGATCGAGCTTTATGGGGATCAGATAAATAACCTGCATCTGCATAACCAACAAGGTCTGCACTATCTTTGTTAGCATAAAACAAACCCATATCAAGAGTTCCCTTTAAATATCGCAATATATGTTTAATCCCGTTCCAATGTCTCCGTGTAGGAGAAGAACTATATCTTGCTAGTAAATTAACAGAAAATGCTATGTCAGGCCTTGTAGCATTAGCAAGATACATTAGTGCACCAATTACACTGAGATAGGGTACTTCGGGACCAAGGAGTTCCTCATCCTCTTCTGGAGGTCGGAACAAATCTTTATTCACTTCAAGTGATCGAACAACCATTGGTGTACTCAATGGGTGCGCTTTGTCCATGTAAAAGCGTTTTAAGACCCTTTCTGTATAGGCAGATTGATGGATAAAGATCTCGTCTGCTAAATGTTCAATTTGCAGACCAAGACAAAGTTTTGTCTTTCCAAGATCTTTCATCTCAAATTTTTTTTTAAGATATTCAATTGCCTTTTGGAGCTCTTCTAGAGTTCCAATAAGATTTATGTCATCAACATAAACAGCAAGTATAACAAATTCTGAAGCCATTTTCTTTATAAAAATATATGGACAAATAACATCATTTATGTAACCCTCTTTCAGCAAATATTCACTGAGGCGATTATACCACATGCGCCCAGATTGTTTTAAACCTTACAAAGATCTTTGTAATCTGATTGAGTACGTTTCCCGAGATTTTGAATATGCTTCAGGCATTTTAAATCCTTCAGGGATTTTCATGTAAATCTCATTATCAAGTGACCTGTACAGATAAGCTGTAACCACATTCATTAGATGTATTTCAAGCCTTTCACGTAAGGCTAAACTGATGAGATATCGAAATGTTATGGCATCCACAACTTGTGAATACGTTTCTTCATAATCGACTTCAGGTCGTTGTTAGAATCCTTGTGCAACAAGGCGAGCCTTGTATCTTTCAACTTCATTTTTATCATTCTTTTTTCGCACAAAAACCCATTTATGACCAACTGGCTTTATACAGCAGGTGTTTGGACTACTGGTCCAAAGACCTCTCTTTTAGCAAGTGACTTCAATTCCGATTGAATTGACTCTTGCCATTTTGGCCATTTTGGCCAATCAGATCTTTGTCGATATTCTTCGACCGATTGGGGTTCAAGATTCTCACTATCTTGCATAATGTTAAGTGCAACATTATATGCAAAAATATTATCCACCACTATTTCAGATCGATTTAAATTAATCCCATCACCAATAGAACTTATTTAAAGTTCCTCACTCATTTGAATCTCGGGTTCATTGATTTCTTCAGGAATCTCAGAACTAATCAGATCTTGGGTCTCTTCAGGAGATCCCTTCATAATATTATTTTGATCATTTGTCAATTTTCTTTTTCTAGGATTTCGATCCTTAGAACCCAAAGGTCTACCACGCTTCAGGCGTGCTTTAGGTTCACTAGCTCTAATGCTAGTAGATGGTCCTGCTAGGACATCAATTCGGATAGGCACATTCTCTGCAGGGATATGCGACTTAGTTATCCTTTTCAAATCAGTAAATGCGTCTGGCATTTGATTTGCTATATTCTGTAAATGGATGATCTTCTGGACCTTCTGATTACATATAGGGGTACGTGGATCAAAGTGAGATAATGATGAAACTTTTCATACAATTTCTCTTTTGATTTCCTTTTTCTTTCCCCTAATTGTGAAAATTTTGTTTCATCAAATCGACAATCTACAAATCGAGCAGTAAATAAATTTCCCGTCAATGGTTCAAGGTAGAGAATAATAGAGGGTGATTCAAACCCAATATACATTCCTAACCTTCTTTGGGGTCCTATCTTATTACGTTGTGGTGGTGCTACTAGCACATCCAAAAATTTGTAGATGGGTAATATTTGATTCATGACCAAAAACTAATTTTGACGGAGAATATTTATTATAATGTGTCGGTCTGAGACTGATAAGTGATGCTGCGTGCAAGATAGCACGGCCCCAAGCAATAATGGGCAATTTTATTTTCATAAGTAGTGGTCTTGCTATCAATTGTAGTCGTTTAATAAATGATTCTGCAAGGCCATTTTGAGTATGAACATAAGCTACAGGATGTTCAACTTTTATCCCAACTGATATACAGTAATTATCAAAAGCTTAAGATGAGAATTCTCCAGCATTATTAAGGCGAATAGCCTTTATAGGATAATCTGGGAACTGTGCCCTTAATCGAATTATTTGGGCTAATAACTTTGCAAACGCCAGGTTGCGAGATAATAGTAGGCACACATGAGACCATCTTGAAGATGCATCTATTAGGACCATAAAATATCTAAACAACCCACTTGGTGGGTGAATAGGTCCACATATATCCCCATGTATACGTTCTAAAAAGGTAGGGGACTCAATGCCAACCTTCATTGGTGATGGTCTAGTGATCATTTTGCCTTGATAACAAGCATCACAAGAAAATTCATCATTTGTAAGAATCTTCAGGTTCTTTAATGGATGCCCACTCGAATTTTCAGTAATTCGTCTCATCATTATTGATCCAGGATGGCCCAAACGGCCAAGCCAAAGCACAAAAGTATTTCAATCAGTAAACTTCCGGCTTACGATAGAGTGTGCTTCAACTGTACTAATCTTTGAATAGTATAAGCCAGAAGATAAAGTTGGTAACTTTTCTATAATGCATTTCTGGCCAGAAATATTCTTTGTAATACAAAGATATTCCACGTTCATTTCATCTATTGTCTCAACATGATATCCATTTCGGCAGATATCTATAAAACTCAACAAGTTTTTTCAGGACTTGAAGGAGAATAATGCATTGTCTATTATAAGTTTTATTCCCTTAGACAGAAATACAGTAGCTCTTCCGGAGCCTTCAATCAAACTTATATTACCAGAAATTGTAGAAACATTTGCTTTTTCCTTATGCAAATAAGAAAAGTATTTCTGATCTTTGAATATGGCATGAGTTGTTCCACTATCAATTACACAAATATCTTCATGATTGGTCTTTGATCCAAACATAATTTGAGGATTATCCATATTCTTCAAAATGACATAAACAAAATAAATATGATAGTAAACATTATTATCAAAGCATAACTTTTATTTATGTACAACAATTACATAACCATACTATCTACTACAAACAACAAAAATTAAAATATTTATATTTCTACAGATTCACTACCGATCACATGACTTGTTTCTCCTTCTGGGAGTACAAAAAAATCAGCTACATCCAAATGCATGAAGTCTAAATTATTTTGAGAAATAAAATTTGTTTCGGCATTTTTCTCTGTCTTCTTCAGGGAGGCTTGATACAGCTCAACCAGGTGCTTTGGCGTACGACATGTACGTGACCAGTGCCCTTTTCCTCCACATCTATAGCATGTATTTTCTGGCTTTGCTGCTTGCACCGTTTCATGCTTTTGTTCCTTCCTTTTCCACTGCTGGTGGTGAGGAGGGTTCTTTGGTGCATTGTTATTATCACGATTAGAGTTTCCTTCCCGACCACGGCCATGACCACGAGTGGGGCCACGTCCTCTTCCACGCTTAGCTTGGTAGAAGTTCGTCTCATTCACTTTAGGGAATGGACAAGAACCAGTAGGTCGGCTTTCATGATTTTTCATTAATATCCCATTATATTGCTCGGCTACAAGAAGATATGAGATAAGTTCAGAA